GTTTAATTTCAACAAGAAGAACCCATGGGTTCTCCATCGGGTTCTAAGGGTTCTTTGAGAACCCAGTCACCCACCTTGGTCTGGATTCTCAATAGAACCTGATCTGGGTTCCTTCGATCCAAGATTGGGTTCCCAAAGTGAACCCATCATGGATTAAATTGGGATTTGCATTAATTATGTGGTTTTTTAATCTGTGATTTTGTACTTCATTTTTTTTAGTTTGGAAGTGAATTTCTGCATCGCAGGTCCTCGTCTGGTTCTTATGTTTCCCCCATGAAAATTAAATGGGTAAAGCAGATGGGGGCAATTTTGTAATTTTATTGGTTTCAATGTTGTTTTTTCCACAATCAGCCGTGGCAGCCAAGGTGGGAAATATTGATGACGTGGTTAGTGACATGGCAATTTGGGACGGAATGGCAGTGCGCGCGAAATTTGGGTTGTTAATTTGGTGACAAATTCTTAAGCGGGAGGATTAATTAGGGGCCTAAAATTACACATATGTAGCTCAAGGAAAACATTATTATTTTTTATAGTTAATATTTTCTAGAATTTTTATTTTTAATTAATACTTTTCATAATTTAAAATTTATAAAAAATTTAAAATTAACAATCAAGTTATATGAAAATCAAGGTACAAATAGAAATTTTGGTTATTACCTTTTTAGTTTTTTATGAGTTTTAAATTCTAAAATGTTGATTAAATAAAAATTTTAAAAAATATTAATCATAAAAAATAATATTATTTAGAGTGTAAATAAATAGTTTGTTCTTGATTTTAAGGTGTGAGGCTAAGTAGTATTTTTTGCCAATCAACAGCTAACACAAATTGCAGAGTAGGCCAGAAAATCATTAGCACTCCTATCTAAGTGAGGCAGAAAGCTGAACTACACCACTTGCAATTTCATGGGCTACCTTATTTCCATCTCTGCACACATACACAAAAGAGATATGGTGAAAGCCCGATGCAATCCTTCTAATAGCATCTATTATAGGTCCCACAACAGAAAGAGCCTGCAATGGCAAAACAATATATGGGATTATAATGATTGAATCACTTTCCACAACAGTATTCCCCAATCCCAGTTCATGTGCAAATTTCGAACCATGCAATATAGCCAAAGCTTCCACATGAACTACACTAGAAGTTGAAGGTGTCAGTTGTAATTATATCATTTTTGTGTGTATATATCTATATAATAATTTTTATATTTATTATTTATAAATTAATTTTAATTATAAATTGATATTATTACATTTATTAATTATTAAAAATATAATATAAATGATCTACATAGTATGATCGTAGAACCTAGGAAAATAATAGAACTTTTTAATCTTATTTTAAAGTTTATAAACTTTTAAAAATTAAAATAAAAACCCAAAATTATAATTTTGCTAAACAATACTTAATTATTCAAGGGTACAGTTATTTTTAAATAAATAAATAAAGTCATCCAATCAATAATTGAGTGTTGGTGCACTCAGCAGGCAACCGAATGCACTTAACAGTACTCTCTTTACTAATATAATATGATATTTAGATAAATGTGTTAAAGATGAA